CAAGACAAATTACTTAAACATGGGGTTAAGCTCACTGGGGTAGTGCTTGCCTGGCACGCTAGAGGCCCCAATGTCATTCTCCAGGACCATCTCAGCATGCTGGCACACACCCATGATTTCAGCACTTGAGGTTAGCCTAGGCTACATGAAACCTTGTCTGAAAAATAAGTAACAAGCCCCTGTGTGGCAGTGGAGGCAGATGCAGGTGGATCTCTGTGAGTTCGAAATCAGCCTGGTCTACATAGGGTATTCCTGGCCAGCCGGGGCTATATAGTGAGACCTTGCCTCAAAACAGACAAACAGAAAGTCCAAGACAAAACTAGTTATCCTTGGCCTAGTGGAGAGCTCAGCTCTTTTAGGGCTTCCGCCCATTGCCTGGGCCAAGCCTAGGAAAGACCTGTGTTATCAGTGACTCATCTCGACTTAGCTTAGTCACCAGGAACCAGCAGCAGAAGTCATTCAGCGCGAATGCTGGCCCTTTGGGGAAAAGGACTATTGGCTCTCCCTTTTCAGGAAAGCTGGACTTCAAGTCGGAACCTTACCCAGAGACTGTCTGGGAAAGTCCAAACCTGCTTCCTAGGATAAACGAAAAGAGAGATTTGTTTCGTTATGTTTGATTGTTTAGACAAGGTTGCACTACACAGCCCTGGCTGTCCTGGAACTTGCTGTTTACTTCAGGCTGGCCTCAAACTCACAAAGATCCACCTGCCTCTGCCTCCTGAGTGCTGGAATCACAGGCATGAGCCACCACTGCCAAGTATTTTTTTTTCTGGAAATAAATATTAAAAAAATAAAAAGCTCTCTCCTAACCCAAATGTGGTGCACATTATCTGTACCCTAGCACTCATAAACGTGGTGCACACACCTGTACCCTAGCACTCATAAACGTGGTGGCTCATACTTGGCAGGAGAGAAGGCTCTGCACTCGAGAGCACTTGCTCTTGCAGAGGATCAGAGTTCTCGATTGCCAGCACCACATAGTGGTCCACAACCATCTGAAACTCCAGTTCCAGGGGCTCCAATGTCCTCTTCTGACCTCCACAGGCACCAAGCATACACGTGGTGCACATTCATGGTTGATGGCAAAACAAACACACAAGATAAAACAAATCATAATTGAGCTGCAGGGAAACACGATCAATAGAAAAAGACTTAGCTGCTCAACTGTGACCTTCAGTGACACAAAGAATCTATAACTGCAAAGTCAGCAGTGCAGGATCAGAAGTCACCCCAGGAGGAAAACTTAGTACAGTCACCTGCTCCTTCCTCCTCCTTCCTTTCTCCTCAGGAGCCACAGGATTGCAGTCACAGTGGCAGTGGCCTTTTGCTCCTTGATAAGCCTGAGACCTTCCCTACAAATGGCCTCTGTAGGAAAGGCTCCAGACGTGTGTTGGGGCAGGGAAGGAGGAGAGGGAGAAACGCGGAGGCAGAGGTGAAAGGAGGAGAGAAATAGAAGACTGTGTACTACAAGAGCAAAATGCACCAAAGCCTTTGACTCTCTCCGGTCTAGTAAAAAAAAAAAAGCCAGTCCTTATTCTAGTGACAGAGAAGCAGGAGGTGCACCAGTCTGTTTTGTGTCCCCTAAAGTCACCAGGGCTGCACCCACAGTTATGCACCACACAACCCGGAATGTAGGCAGTTGGAGTACTAATTAAAGTGGTTTCAGGGATAGCAAAGTGGAACAAAGTTAGGACAACAGAAACATAAGGCCAAAAAAACAAAATATTTGTTGTCAAGGTTAGAAGAAAATATGTGTATACTCACAAAGTTATCACTGGGCAGTGGGGGCACACACCTTTGAGCCCTGAATTTGGGGAGGGGCAGAGTCAGGCAAATCTCTGAGTTCTCTAAAGTAAACTATGCATAGTGGCTTTAATCCCAGCCCTCAGGAGGCAGAGGCAGGCAGATCTCTGTGAGTTTGAGGCCAGCCTGGTCTATACACTGTGTTTCAGAACATCCAGGGGCTATTGGAACTTCTGAACCAAAAAAAAGTGATGCCCCACCCACGAAGTTGGTCTTCGTTTTCTTTGTTTGTTAGGGTTTTTTGAGGTTTCTGACTGTCCTTGAACTCTGTAGACCAGATTTACAAAGATTGTCTTTAATTCTCCCATCTGCCTTCCTTCTTTTCTTTTCTTTTTCTTTTTTTCTTTTCTTTTTTTTTTTTTTTTTTGGCCCCCAGTGCTGGGAATGAACCCAGGGCTTTGTGTTGCTAGGCAGTCTTTTACATACACGTTACAATTCAAGACTACCCTTCCCCCTTTTCAAAGTCTCACTGTGTAGCCTGGGTTGGCTTTAAATTGGAGCTCCTCCTTAGTGCTGAGATTACAGGTATACTCCACCATGCTTCCTACTCCCCTTAAAAAGAAACAAGTAAGTGTGTTTTTGCTATGTTGTTCCAGATATTACTGAACTCTGGGCTCAAGGTAGCTGGGACCAGCTGAAGACCACTCTTCTTTTTCCTAAGATTTATTGTTAGCCAGGGGGTGGTGGTGCACACCTTTAATCCCAGTACTCAGGAGGGAGAGGCTGGCAGATCTCTGAGTTTGATTACAGCCTGGTCTACAGAGCAAGTTCCAGGATAGCCAGAGCTGCATAGAGAAACCCTGTCTTCAAAAACCAAAATCCAGCACCCCTCAAAAAAATCATTATTAAAAAAACTTCTTTAAGGTTTGTATTTTATGTATATAGGTGTTTTGCCTGCATGTATGTGTGTGTGTGTTCACCTGGTATCTATGGAGGCCTTGGATCCCCTAGAATGGGAGTTACAAATGACTATGGGCCATCAGGTCAGTGTTCTCTCTCTCTCTCTCTTAAAATTTATGTGCATTGGTGTTTTGCCTGCATGAGGGTGTCAGGTACCCTGGAACTGGAGTTACAGACAACTGTGAGCTGCCACGTGGGTGCTGGGAATTGAACCTGAGTCCTCTAGAAGAGCAGCCAGTGCTCTTAAACACTGTGCCATCTCTCCAGTCCCCAGGCCTATGCTCTTAACCACTGAACCATCTTTCCAGACTCTATTTTGATGATGATGATTTATTTATTTTGTTTTTCGAGACAGGTTTTTCTCTGTGTAATAGCTCTGGCTGTCCTAGAACTCACTCTGTAGACCAGGCTGGCCTCGAACTCAAGAGTTCCGCCTGCCTCTGCCTCTGGAGTGCTGGGATTAAAGTCATGCAACCACCATCACCCGGTGTAAAAATTATTCTTAAGCACTGAGCCAACCTGAATCTTTTCTCTTTTACTTTTCTTTATTTGGATTTTTGAGACAGGGTCTTACTATATAGCCCTGGCTCAGCACTTGGGAGTTCAGAACACTTAGGAGACTCAGGAGTTCAAGGTCATCCTCTAGTACACACAAAGTTATAGGTCAACCTGTGTTACAGTGAGACCCTGTCTCAAATGAAATAGATCAACCAAAATCAGTCATTTTTGCTGACTGGCGGGTTATATATATGGCATTACCAACATACCTTCCGGTTTACTACAAGTATATAGTTGTAAAGCTGTAATTGCATCTAAGTCAGTATCTATCTCGTCACCCTCTTGGAGTCACTATTACTGTTGACAGAAGGGACAGGTTATTTTGGTGTGTTCATTAGACTAGGCAGCAAGTACCTCTAACTGCTCAATCATCTTATTGGCCCCTCTCTGCCAAATTTTTTTCTGGAAATTAGTTAGGGGGAGGTATTAAATGTAGATAGGCTCATAAGATGCCATTGAGCCCCCAAGAGTTGTACCCTGTGTGTACCATATTCTCTGGGAACTTGTGCCTTCCAGGCCCTAAGTGGGCCCACTTCCCCCTGAATACAGTCAACCTCCTGTTGTCAGGCTCCTTAGTGTTCTGCTGCCCAGCCGGGAGCAGGTGGCACTCAATCTTTCCCTCTGCAGAGAGGAAACACGGATTTTCTTTGATGGAGTCATCCCATTCCCATTTTCGGTCCTTGTTCTTGGGTGTGGATCATGCTTTCCTTCTGGACGCAGGGCAGACATGTGACCCGGACCCAGCCAATCACTATGTTCTAACTACAATGGCTGGGGGAAGAACATCCCATTCACTCTAGTGAAGAGAAAAATCTGTTCAAACTTTCCTTAGAGAAGAAACATTCCCGTCTGCTCCTGATAGAAGCCTGGATCTGCTGGCAGTAGTTGCTCTCACCAGGGTGTGGGGAACGTGGGTGATTCCTTCAGTCGCACCCAGAGAAGGTTAAGCCTAGATCTGGGCCCGGACATGCTTTTTTTAAATATTTATTTATTTATTATGTATACAATATTCTGTCTGTGTGTGTATGCCTGCAGGCCAGAAAAGGGCACCAGACCTCATTACAGATGGTTGTGAGCCACCATGTGGTTGCTGGGAATTGAACTCAGGACCTCTGGAAGAGCAGGCAATGCTCCCAACCACTGAGCCATCTCTCCAGCCCCGGACATGCTTCTAACAGGTCTTTTGAACACCTGGAAGCAACCCTCCCCAGGACAGTAGAATGGCCATTGCTGAAAAATGCCCTTTTCCGCCCAAACCACTTTGTACGGGTTCATCATCCACAGGGCTGGGACAGGGACAACTCTCTGAGCTATCTCAAACACCAGCTTCTCTATGAAGCTCTGACCCTTCCTGACCCAAGTCTGTCTAGCACCAGAATAGGCTCTTGTGCCTGTACCACCCATACTAGGCCTCCTCAGTCAAGCCATCCCAGGTGTGTGTTTGCTTAAAACCAGAGCCCTGTGCCAAGTTGAACAGTCTTTGGTGGACAGTCCATAACACAGCCACTGGCTCCTCTCTCGTTTTTTAGAGACAGGTTCTTTCTACTTAGCCCTGGGTGTCCTGGAACTTGGTATATAGACCAGGCTGACCTAGAAGTCACTGAAATAGAATCCACCTGCTTCTGCCTCTGGAGCACTGGGATTAAGGCATGCAGTACCATACCCGACTTGGTTTCTCTATTGCTCCTAAGTAGGGCTCCCTCTCTCACCCCTCACCCAGCACTCACAGGGAGACTGTGTTGGCAAACACATATTGCTTTATTTAGTGTTTCTCTGGATTGCAGAAGTGTCAGCAGTGGGCAGAGAACCTCAAAGGGCACAGAGGGGGCTGGGCACACCCAAGGTCCTCTGGGGTAGAGAGAAGCAGCAGAAAGAGGTGATGCCCCTGCAGCTCCTCCAAGGCTAGCCCCATAATCCCAGGTCACAGAGGTGTCCAGGCCAATAAAGACCCTACCATCCTTAAATTGGGTCCAGAGTGTGCGTGTGTGTGTGTGTGTGTGTGTGTGTGTGTGTGTGAGAGAGAGAGAGAGAGAGAGAGAGAGAGAGAGAGAGAGAGAGAGAGGAGGTTGTCATCCTAAGGCATAGACCCAGGCAGCAGACCCCCTCCCACCTGGTGGCTCCCAAGGGTGATTGCTGGTCAGGGAGCTGGGTGCACAGTTAAGACATGACCCTCACTTTAGGGTCTTCCCTGATCCTGGGAAAGGCAGTGAGGTGTGCTGAGGATAGGGCTTCATTTTAGGATTTGCCCCAACCTGCTAGTAGGCAAGCCTTCCTTTTGTGGCTTGCCTGTCTTCAGCTCTGTGATTCCAGGCGTCTGGACTAGACGATTTCTCTGAAGTCTTCCAAACTCTGAAGACTTTTTCCCACTCCAGATGCCCTCAGACTGAGGTGGAACTATTAAAACCTTTTTTTTTTTTTTAACGCTGGGGATTGAACCCAGGGTCTCACACATGCTTAGCACCAGTGCTACCGCTGGGCTACACCCCCAGCCCCTAAAAGGGCATTCTTAAGGCAGGAGGATGGGGTAGGCGAAGGTGGTCTTAGCCTCCAGGTGGAGGTCAGAGTGGGCCACAGAAGGTATAGGTGGGTGGACAGACAGACAAGGTGCTAAGGGAATAAAGAGAAGAGGCTTGGCCAGAGAAGAGGGCCCCACAGTCCAGCCCACCCAATCTTTTCGCTACACTCCTTGCCCTGTTTGAGTCAGGAAAACACATCCAGTGTGTTGAGGGTAGGAAAATGGCTTTTTTACAAAAATAGTTTCCTATAAAGCATCAAAAACTCTCAGAGAAAACCTCTGTTAAAATTCCCTTCTCTCAGAGATTTGGCATCAGCAGAGGGCTGGCCTGGTCTGCTCAGGCCCCTGCTTTTCTATTGCTCTGGCCCGGCCTGGCCCACTCCTGGGGTAGCTTCCTGGCCCCCATCACCTCAAGAGAGGGTGAGCAAGAGGCAGGAGTCTGCAGGTGGGCTTTGGGGGTGTCTCTAGATCCCTGACTGGAAGCTCAAGTCTTTGGTAACTGGGAAGGGAGGAGGGAGAGAAGCAAAGCGTCAGGAGTCGGGGGTCCACTGGTGCCTTCATCACCGCGAGTTCAGCCGTGGAGCCACCTATTGGGGAGAAGCCCACTGGTGAGTGGAGGAACTGCAGGTACGTACAGGCTCGGGATAGGCAGCCCTGCAGCAGGGCTGGGGAGTTGTGTGGCCTTGCCACTGAAGACTTTTCTATTCCCGCAGCAGTACTGACTGCTCCAGTCAGAGAATTCCCCCACACGCCACCACTCCCTGCGTCTTTCCCACACCTCCCACTGCCATTCTTATTACAGCTCTTTTATGGCCACCATAGGGGCCCACGAAGCCCCTCTCCGGCCTTCATGGGTAGGCAACAGGGGAAAAGGGACAGACACATACTCGAAGGAGGGCTTGATCCTCAGTGGCTCTACCTTAGACCCAGGCCAGCAAGTCCCACTCACCACAGCCAGGTGGCCGTTCTTAGCCTTGGTGATGAGAAGCTCCGAGCCAGATGTGAAGTCAATGATGCCATCCCTGCCTGGACCCCCTGCAAATGTGATGCTGGAAGCAAGGAAGAACACGAGGGCTTGGTCACAGAGATAGATCCCCAGGATGGGCCTTTCCTGGGGTCCCTGAGTCACCCTGACAAGCTTTACCTGCCCTGGTTGATGTTGATATTGTTCACACGATCAGCACTGAGGGCCGTCTTGGTTAGCGTCTCAATCACGTGGTCACTCTGCAGAACCACATCCCCCTGGAGAGCGAGGTGCAAAGAATGAGTCAAGTCTTGTTTAGGGCTAGAGGACCCCCCCTCCAACTCCCACGTGCTAACGGGGTACCTTCTGCTTATTGTCCTCACGCTGCACGTGAAGCACAAACAGGCTGTCACTGAGGCTACTGACGGAGATTCCTGAGAGCGGAGGGCAGAGGTTAGGGAGCAGTGGTCAGAGCAGGGCTCCTTCCCACCCAGGCAGGCCTCAGCTCTGGCTAACCCGTTAGGTTGGTATAGTCAATCCTCTGTTTGACTTTGGCATCCTCCACGATGACCACAGCACTGGGGGTGAGCAGCAGCTGTCGGGAGCGAGGTTTGTAGCCCTTGCGGTCATATTTTACCACTGGCACGGCATACTAGAGACACAGAACAGTGTGAGGGGCAGGGCAGGGTGGAGGAGTTCTGGGGACAACTTCCTTGCCCACTGCTCTGACCCCTGGGCAGAGAACTGTGAGGGCAAGAGTTACAACGAGTTCCTACCTGGATGGGCTCAGAGCCCAAGGCCTGCAGCACTCTGGGGCTGATCTCCTCTGTGCCTGCGACCAAGAAGGGGAAAAGGAAGTAAGTAAGGTAAGGCCAGGAGACAGGACGGTGCTGGGAGGTTCGAGGGATGAAAGGGGGCTCACCAAGACGTGTGCTGATGAAGAGTCTGGGGACACTCTGGGGGTAATTGTCCTTCTTGCCCTTGAAAATCTCACTAGCCACAGCCTTCTGCTGCAGCTGAGAAGACAAAAGAAACAGTGTCAAAAGGATGAGACCACCTAGGGGGCAGACCCAATGGCGCCCCCATCAGCACCCTAGTGTCCTGCCAGCAATACTCACTCCCATCAACTCCTCCCTTCCTTACCCACCGCCCCCACCAAGCAGGGCAGAGAGCTCCCCAGGATTGTCAAGTTCCAGGCCTGATTAGGGAAACAATTCCCCTAGGCCCTCAAGTCTGAGACTGAGGTCCAGCTTAGAATTGTGCAGGTAGCTCACTGCTACGCCAGGTTATCTGACCTGGGTGGGGCCTTCCTCCAACACCTTGTTGGTAAACACAAGGCACATGGACCACTGACCCTAATCATGAGTGTGCATGAAGCTGGGCCAATGAGACTCTAGACAGCTCCTATCAACCAAAACAAGCTGGCCCACAAAACGAGTTCTCTTTGCTTCTCCAAACTCACTGCAGCCTCCAATGAGGCTCCAGTGTGGAGCAGGCAACACTCCCTCACTCCAGATAGCACAGGCTAGCACAGCTCCTGCTGTTCCAGGGCCCCTACGTCAACACTCGCTGCCTGCGCTCCCCACACCTGCTGCTTCCACTCAGGGCTGATAATCCGGCAGTATTTCCACACCATGTTCTTCACGCACAGCTCCCGCAGCAGCTCTGAGGCCTGTGTGAAGGGTAGAGTCAGACATTTTCCAGCCTGTTTCCATTCCCGCTGAAAACCTCAACAGGGCCCTCAAGCCCGACAGTCCTTTGGAGTATTTTTTCTCTGGGAAACTCAATTTCATGGCCCAGATCGACTTCCTCACCCTGCTGAATGAACCCTCCCCTGGCCACCTCTCCAGAGACATGGTAAGAAAACTCCCCCTGTTAAGTGCTCAGTATGGAGGCCCACATACCTCTCTCAGGGCAGGTGGGGGTGTGGGCCAGGAAGTGTCCAGAACATTCCGGGGTAGTTGCTTCCTCAGGTTAAGCAAAAATGATGTGCGCACGTGGTCCAGGAAGAAGGCATTCTCAGGGCAACGGGGTGCATGGCGTAAGATGAAGCCACGGATGAGTCTGGAGGGCGGGCCAGACACAGCTAGGGTGAGAAACCTGACAACCGATCGATCCCCATATTCACCTTGATCTGTAGTCCCCCTTCACGGCATCCCAGCACTCACCGACGGATAGTCTGGGCTGCCCACTTCCTCTTGGCTGCCTTTCTCCGGCCCAGTGTGCCACGCCACCATGACTGGATACAGATGGCTGTGGATACCACATATGGCTGACTTCTGTCTTCTCACTATGGTGGCCCATCCATCCCTCCAAAAGACCCCTGGGACCCCAAACCTGATCGCTTCACCCGGAGGAATTTCTGCCGCCAATGAAAGCCCCTCCAGGCCGCCTGGATCTGGGTGGCTGTGGTTAGGGAAGAAAATTAATCAGAGCTCAGAACCCCTAGGTAAGGGCCTGGCGCATGGTCAGGGGCATGAATGAAGAACAAGGGAGGGACCGTGAGAGGCAAGATAACAAAAGACAGCAGGGGAGTGTGGGGATGGGTTTGGACTGGGGAGGCTGGCGGTCTTCACAGGGGTGGGGAAGGAGGAAGATCACTGAATGGAGATGGACAGGTTCCCAGGAGAAAAAGCCCAAAGGCAGTGATTTCTATTCCCAAGACCCCCATGGGATAGCAGGGGCGAGTCTCTCACCTAGGCTCTGCCGTCGAACTTCCAGGGAATCCTCTGTGGCAAACAGGGTCTTGGGGAATCGAATGAAGATCTTTGTCCTGGGAGGACAGCAGTGATAAGCCTCTGGATGCCACCTCCTCCATCCCTCAGGCACCAGGCCCAGGCCCCACTCACCTGCCCATTTTGTACTCTTCTGGCTTGTAGCCAAGGTGTCTGACTAGCACTGCCACCCCATCCTGGGGCTGTCCTGCCCACGTGGGCCACGTCTCTGGGCACAGTGACTTGTACCTGGAGAAGGGACGAGCAGGAACACACTCAGGCAAAGCCAAGCCAGGGTCTGCTTTGGAGGTCCCCTCCGCTGTGCTGGGTATCTACAGGTGCTCCCACACACTGGTACATGGTACACGTGCCTGAGGGCCCCCACTGTAAAGATGGGGACTGAAGTATTCCCATCTGCCTAAGGCAGAGATGGGATTTGTATCCTGGTTGGCTCAGGTCCTGTCCTCTGAATAACTACAAAACCACAGTATCTTCTCTGAGCTCTCGTTCCCAGTCTCTGGTGGCAGCCTGTCAATGTGATCCTCCTGTGCCCCTCACCAGAGGCTTCAGGAGGGAGGGGTTGTGTGTGTGCCTTCTGTCTTCTCTTCCAAGACTAACATTAGGCCCACAGCATAAAATGGTTCCTGGCCAGGGTCCCACAGCAGCTGAGGACCTCTGAACCCTCATATTTAACTAGAGCTATGAATGCCCCTCCTTCCTCGCAGGTTCCAGAACCTCATCCTCCCACCTCACCCATTCACGGGGGGCTGACCCCACCCACCTCTGTAGGAAAGCCTCATATTTGCGACGATAGGCAAAGCCAGCTCTACGCACGCGCAGATTCTCCATAAGTCCCAGGTACTTCACCTGGTGTCGGATAAGCACCTCATCAAAGCGACCTGCGAGATAGACAATGCAGATGGTCTCAGGCTTTCAATGAAAGGAGTATCACCATCCAAGAGACACAGCTCAATCACTGCTCATGGGGCCAGAGAACCTACCAGGCTGTTTGGCATCATTTGGCTTGATGCAGCGGATATAGGCAGGCTCCTTAGACTTCAGGATCTCCACTAGCTGCAGGAGGCTCGTCTTGAACTGTGTGGCAACCTGGTGAGCCAAGGGGGTATAGAATGTTGGCTGGGGCTGGGGTGAGGCCACCCAGGCCTGCACATACTGCCCCCTTCCTCACAATAGCAAGGGCCCAGACTTCACCACACTTCCTTTTAGTCAGTCAGAGACCTCAGCTAAGAAACCCAGCTCTCCTACTCCAGACTCTTGGTAATGCCACACCCTACCTACTCTTTTTTTCTCTCTCTCCTTTTCTTTCTTCCTAATGCTGAAGAACAAAGTAAGAGCCTTATGCTCATTGGGACAGAATCAAACCAGGGAGACATCCTTCCCCCTCCCCTTGTTTTTGAGACGATTGATCAGTCTGAGGTAAAGTGCACTGGGGAAGATCTGGAAATGACCCTAAAGTGAGCCTGTGAGTGTCAGGAGGAGACAGCAAGAGAGAAAGGCAGCCCAGGCAGATGGATGGCTAAGCAAAGGCTCGACACACAGGAAGCTACAATCCTTGCAAGGAAGGCAGAAGCAGTATATCAAAGAGTTACACTGGAGAGACTAGATTTTATCTTTAGGGAAACTGAAAGACAGTGAGGAATTTGGAGCAAGGGAGTGGCAATGAGATCTGTATGTTAGATTATTTCTACAGCATTTACGAGGAAGATGGATTAGCAGGGGCTGGTGGGAAGCCAGGAAACTAGGGAAGAGGTTGACTGGCTCAAAGGACCGATAACAGGGACTGGCCTGGAACAGTGGTTATAGGGCCAAGGAGCGGGAGCTGAGAAGTATTCAGACAACAGAAATCAGCATCACCCAGCTTGAAAAGTCCCTGGCCCAAGGGACTGGGTGGAGAATGACTCCTGTCCCAAGTCAGGAACAGAAGAAGGGGGTTGGACACGAAGGGGTCCACTTGGGACATTAGTGGATACAGAAGCGGGAGGCATGCTACAAAGGATGGGTAGGGGAGGGTGTGTAGGTGTCCTGAGTAGGGAGATACTGGAATATTACTTTAACTATATAAATATGTATTACATTTGTTTATCTTGCAGAATATTACTTTAACTATGTAAAGGTGTGTTACATTTGTTTATGCTGCATTTGCTTAATGATATAAAGATGTGTTGCTCTGTCTGCCAAAAGCACCTGATTGGTCTAATAAACTGAATGGCCAACAGCTAGGCAGAAGAGGAGTAGGTGGGGCTAGTGGGCAGAGAGGATAAGTAGGAGGACTCTAAGCTCAAGGAGAGAAGAGAGAATGAGGGAGAAAGACAGGGGGATGCCTGGGGCCGGCCAGCCAGGCAGTACCAGCCAGTGAAGACGTGGAGGAAGCAGTGAAAGCAGGACATAAGAACAAAAACAGTCCAGAGGGAGAACACAGACGGGGAACAACAGGTTAAATTAAGTTATAAGAGCTAACAAGAAACAAGCCTAAGAGCTAAGACCGAGCATTAAGTCTGTGTGTCATGATTTGGTGGCCCAATAAAAGCCTGCCACACTGGCTGGAGGAGAACGAGGCTCAGGCAGAAGATGGGGAGGACGGAGTCAGAACAGCAGAGTCAAGGCCTGGGGAGGCACCACAGTGTCTCTGTGAGCCAGCTGGAAGCACTCTGGGCTTCTCTCCCTCCTGACCTGGAGCTGTGATGCCCTCTTCTGACTCAGCCCAATCATTGCATGTCTGCCCTCAGCTGGCTGCAAGTCCCCTGCATCTGGCACCACCGACCACATATCTGCCTTTTCCAGCCTCTTCATCACTAAACTGTTCTTTTCAATTGTCTAGCTTTCCCTTGGCCTCTGGGTGCATGTGTTGACATCTTGCTGCCTAAAGCGCCCTCAGACGGGTTCACTTGACAAGCACCTACTCATTCTCTCACCTCAAAAGCTGCCTTTGCCTTGGAGCTTTCCAGAATCCTACCTCTCCAACCCCTCAGGCAGTTTGCTCCCTCTTTCTGGTGTCCAAAGTGCCCATGCACCTGGCTGTGAGAGCATCTTTTTGCTTCTGATATCTCAGAGAGGAGAGATGTCTGCTGACTAGGCAGATACACATAAATGCCCATGTAGGCTGGGGTACCCTGGGTACCCATACAGAGAGTCTACATACAAAGGTGGACACATAGGTATGCACTTAGAAACAAGACACAGAAGGACTAGAGGTGGCCCAGTGGGCAATGACACTTCCTGGCAAGTCTGACATCCCGAGTTTGATCCTGGAGATTCATGTGGTAGAAAGAATCTTCAGCCCTCCACTCACACCATGGCACATGTACACACACACACACACACACACACATTCACACATACACACACACAAGTAAATAAAAGTAATAAAAATAGGGGGCAGAACTAGGCAAAGACAGTCCTGAGAGCAGCCTCTTGTAGACACCCATGCGTGCGCACATTGGTGCTAAACACGCTCACAGTTGCAGTGCCAGGGAGGCTCTGGTCTGGGCTCAGGCACACACACACCACCCTGGTGTCACAGCCTCCGCACCGTCTCTGGCCGCTTCTTGTCACTGAGCTCATTCCTGTCAAAGCACTGGCACATGATGGGGTTCTTTGAGCTGCACATGATCTGCAGGGCAGAAGAAATTGGAGTTGAGCACAAAGCCAGGGACACACACAGAGCTATGGGCGGCCTGCCGGTCTGCCTCACCTCCTTCAGGTTCCGGAAGAGAAGGTCGTTGTTTTTATCCAGAAACCCTGCAAGGGGAGAACAGATGAGAAGTGAGGGAGTGTCCCCTCCTTGCCCCACGGGACCCAGCATCAGGATCCTCACCAGTCACACTGTAGGTCACCTCTCCAGCATAGTGAAGAAGCCGGAACTCCCCTCGGCCTAGGGATTTCCTGGTCTTCTGGTCAGCGAGCTTGTGCCTAAGGGTAACAAGAACAGGAAACTACAGAATTCTGACCTGGGGCTTGCCCCTGCCTGTTGAAGTTTTATGAGCCATCCAGGAAGGAGCCTGCAGGCCCTGGGCTGTCCCACAAACTGTGACAGATTGTGCAGGCCTGAGGCCTGCTGCAGAGTTCACAGACACTCAGAATAGACAAACTTGCCTAGAGGACAGCCTAGCTCCAGGAGCGAGGAGCAGGAATTTGGGCTTTAGCCTGCCAGTCAGTCCAGGCATAGGGCTATTTTCATTGCCTCTAGCTGCTGTCCAGCTGTTTAGAGGGTGGTAAAGCTGTCCTCTCCATTTTCAGAATGGAATCTGTCCCATGAGATTATTTAAATCCTAAACATGCTTGTACCCCCTAGTCCGTGTTTTACTTGTAAGAACTATTCTGAGCACCTATCCAGAGATGCGGTCGCCTTGCTCTCACATCGGAAACCTGGAGGGCGGGCTGCTAGGTAGCTCACTGATGAGACGGGAGGCTTGCCTAGCATGTGTGAAGCCCTAGGCCCCATCTTCAACACCACACAAAAACAAAAAACAAAACAGTGGTGTGGTGGTGGCACATGCTTCCAAAGCAGGGGCAAGTAAATGTCTGTGAGTATGGGGCCAGCCTGGTCTACACAGTGAGTTACAGGATGGCCAGGGCTACACAGAGAAAACCAAACAACCACGGGGTGTAGTGGTGCATGCTTTTAATCCTTTCACTCTAGAGGCAGAAGTAGGCCAGTCTCTGTGAGCTTGAGGCCAGCCTAGCAGCCTGGTTTACAAAATGAGTTCCAGGACAGTCAGGGCTGTTATATACAGAAACCCTGTCTCGAAAAACTACCAAAAAAAACCAAAACAACAACAAAAAAAACCCAAATCGACCAACCAACCCCGCCTCCCCCCCAAAAAAAACCATGGAAAGGCTGTCACTAGGGCCTTCAAGGCAGGGTGAGAGCTGCAAAGTCCCAATGGGTTGTAGCCCTCGAAGGACATATTTTGAAGAAATTTTTCCACTGGATACAGGAAAAACCTTAGAACATAACATTATCCCGAGCCTCATACACAGTAAGTCCTTGACTTTGGAAAAAATGTATAGGAAAAGGCAGGAAGGAAATGCCTGGAATTGTTAACAATGATGACCTCTGGGTAACAGAGTCACAGCAGCTTTGCACACATTCCAACTCTCTCTAATGAACAGTATTATTTTCATAATCAAGTGAATTTTATTGTTTGGTATGATGGCCATGCCTGTAACCCTAGCACTCAGGAGGCAGAGGAAGATAAGATCAGGAGTTCAAAGCCATCCTTTGCCACACAGTGAGTTCCAGGCCAGACTGGGCAACATGAGGTCCTGTCTCAAAAAAAAAAAAAAAAAATCAAAGCCAGCCAGCTGCAAACACCAAAAATCCCAGCACTCGAGGCAGAAGCAGGCAGATCTCTGAGTTTGAGGCCAGCCTGGTCTATAGAGTTAGTCCAGGACAGCCAGGGCTATACAGAGAAATCTTGTTTCAAAAAACAAAAGAGAGGGCTGAAGAGACAGCGTAGTGGTTAAGAGCACTGGCTGCCCTTCAAAAGGTCCTGAGTTCAACTCCCAGTATCACATGGTGGCTCACAACCATCTGTAATGAGATCTGATGCCCTCTTCTGGCATGCAGACATATATGCAGGCAGAACACTATACATAATAAATAAATAAATCTTAAAAAGAGAGAGAGAGAAAGGCTAACCAATACCAGATATGGTGGTGAAAGCCTTTAAATCCAACACTCCAAAGGCAGAAGCAGGCGGATCTCTAAATTCCAGGGCACTCAGGGATACTATGACATTTGGTCTCAAAACAAACAATAAGCTGTCCCACCAAAAAAATCCCTCCAAATGTTTTGCCTGCTTCCTTCTTTCCTTAAGTTTTTCAAGACAGGGTTTCCCTTTGTAGTCTTGTCAGTCCTGGAGCTCACTCTGTAGACCAGGCTAGCCTTAAACTCACAGAGATCCATCTGCCTCTGCCTTGAGAGTGCTGAGATTAAAGGCATGTACTATCACTTCCGGGCCCTTTCTTTCTTTTTAGAGATAGGAGCTCATACTGTAGCACAAGTTTGCTTCAAACTTGAAGCCATCCCTCTCCCTCCACTTTTTGAGTGCATGAACCATCAAGAATAACTAGAAACAATTTTTTTCATGGTTTTTTTTTTTTTTTTTTTTGAGCACGGTCTCTCTAGAGGTCTGTCCTAGAACCAGGCTGGCCTGGAACTCACAGCAGTTTGCTTGCCTCTGCTCCAGAGTGCTGAATTAAAGCTGTGTGTTTCATGCTTGGCTTCTTGTACTGTTAAGCAAACAATGCTTATGGTGTTTGAGTCCAAAAGCCCTGGGACATTCATTCCAAGATCTACAACCTAAATAGATAACCTTGACCAAATGAGTGAATTTTTCTGAGTTTTGGTAAGATAGAACACAAGCATTATCCTTACAGGGTGTTATAGGCTCAGAGATGAGTGTGCCTGGTTGTGTGCTGAGCTTCCCCACTTTAGAGAGTCCTTCTGTTTTTTGTTTTGTTTGTAAATAGGATCTCATGTAGTCTTGAATATGCTATGTAGCCAAGATGGCTTTGAACTACTAATCTTAATGCCTCCACCTCCTAAGTGTAGGAGATTCCTTATATAGGAAGCAATTTACAAATAAGGAAGCTTAAAAAAAAAACACAATTTAGCAAGTTTCATTCTCAAAAATGATTCAAAGAGGAAGGTCCAACAGTGGCTTTTGGTAACTGTCCCATCATCACTTTCTCTGGTGACTAACTTGTGGCTAGTGGTTTATTTTGTTTTAGGTGCTGGGGATCCAAAAGGAGTCCCGTGCACGCTGGGCAAGCCCTCTATCACTGAGCTATGCATTCAGTTTCATGGCTGGTGTTGGCACTGTGCAGGGACCCCAGCCCTTTCGCAGGTTCTGCCGAATGTGAGCCCCTTGCCCCAGCAGCCCACTCACGTCAGGAAGTGGGGGTGGTGCTTGATAGTGTCCTCCAGCTTCTCCAGGAAGGTCAGGTCTGTGGCCTCCCCAGGACGCAGACACTCTTCATCCTGCAGGGCAGGGCACAAGGTGATAAACATAGAGGACACCAAACAAGAAGCCATAGGCACAGGAGAAAGGGGCAGAGCTTAGGGAGCCCTGATAGAGCCAGCAGACTGGGCCAGAACCTCACCTTACCCAGCCCAGCCCCATACACTGCCCCAGCGGACAGACTGGGGAAAGAAAGGGGGAAGGCTTCCCTGTTGCCTCCCAACATGAGGCTAGAAGAGCAGACGACGTACCAAGATGGAGATGATGCCCTTGAACTTCTCCTCCACCAGGTCACAGATGATCTTGTTGTTGAAATACTGGACAGGTTCCCACTGCACAGAGAGAGGGGGACAGCAATTAGAGGGCTCCACACTCTCTCCTGGGAGCCCCAGGGCCTGGCTTCCCATGACATGCAGGGTGCGCCAGGAGAGCACGTACCGCAATGCCCTCTGCTTCGTATTCCTCCTGCTCAGACTTGAGAGTCAACTCAATGAAGAGCTGCTGCAGCTTCTCGTTGCAGTAGTTGATGCAGAACTGCTCAAAGCTGAGGGGCGGTGGAAGAACCCGCAGCAGTGCCAGGAACACAAAGCCGGGACAGGGAAAGGACAGGATCAGGCACAAGCAGCAGGGCTGAGAGATGCAAAGCAGGACCATGGCTGGGAATGAAAGGCAGGGGACAAAGGAGGGGGCAGAACACAAACATTAGTAGACAGACCAACAGGGGTTAAAAGTGAAGGACTGACCTGTTGTGCTGAAATACTTCAAAGCCGTAAATGTCCAGGAGACCAAGAACTGTGGTGCTTCTCCAGCTGGGGCTCTCAGCATCCTAGGGCCAGCCAGTCAGCAGAGAGCATGGGTCTCCAGGGTCTGCCCCGGCTCCCAGCCACAGGCCTCTCTGACCACTCTCCCTGCCTTCCTTGGAAGCAGCATGGGTTTGAGTACTCACCTTAGAGGCCAGTGACCTGTTGATCTTTGTAACCAGCCAGGTGAAAGTGCGACTATACACGGCCTTGGCAAGAGCATCCCTTGCATATGCAGCCTGCTCAAGGTTCAGTGGGCTCAGGAGCTGCCACAGAGGATAAAACAGGAGATGAATGCCGGACACCCTTCTGTCCCACCTTCCCTCAGACTCAGGCATCAGACAAGGACGTTCTCACCACCCTGCCTTCATAGCGCCATTAAACCAGAGTGGTAGTACTATTTAGGACACCATAGGGAAACTGTTATAGGGGCCTCATTCGTGGAGGTGGGAGTCTCTAGGCCTGCATCATGTCCCTCCGGCCCAAAGAAGACCCTGAGTAGACAGCAGAGAGGAACAAAAGGACGAGGCTCCCCAGGACTGCCCACATCTCCTGTTTCTGCAGCCAAGCCGAGTCTTACCTCTTCCCCCTTGGCGATGATCTTTCTGTGAATCAGGGCTTCCCTCAGCGTTGTGCCTTCTACACCGAGCAGCTGCCAAGGGTGGAGTGGGCAAGGTGAGGGGCTGGTCCTCTCATCTCAGTTCTCCCTTTCCTTACCCTCTGCCCACCACTCACCCTAGTCAGATACTTGAGCTGGTTCTCAGTAGTAACCTGGGCATTACTGTCCTCATCAGCAGCAAAGTGGATGTTGCCCAAATGTAGGACGCTGGCCACGATGCTTAGCAAGTCCTGAGGTGGCAGCAGGGGCATGTGGTGGTTATGAGGTCAGGGAGGTCAGGGCAGCCCATAAGAGCAAATAGGAGATGCTCAGATACAGCAGGGGATGGTTGGGAAAGCACTCAGGAGGAGAAGGGAACCTGAAGTAGAAATGGGCTCCAAAAGAAATGGGTGAATTTGGGGGGGGGGTCCAGAGAAGAGCCCTAACCTCCACTTCATCCTCGGTGAAGTCAATGACTGACAGTGCCTTCCTGACGACCTTCCAGTCACTCTTATCACTGATGGAGGAGACTCTGGCACACTGGCCCTGGAGAGAGAGCATAGCTGACTGCCAGCACTGGCTCTGTGCCCCCTGGGTGGCGCCAACCCTGCCTGCCAACCACTCACCTTCACCAGGTACAAGTAGCTCTGGGGGTTCCGTTCCAAGCCCAGGCGACGAAGAGTCTCCTCCTCACCCCCCTCCAGCAGCTGGTAGAAGATGTGGAAGTTCCGTTCTCCATGATTCTGGTGTACCACTCGTGACTTTTCCAGGAGGTAACTGAGGATGTGGCCTCCCACAGGGGCTCCCTGTGGGTAAGGTGGGGAACAGGGATGGTCAGCTAGAACCCCTCTTCCTCTTTCTCTCCTGTAGTAGACCTGGGCTCTCATTCTAGCTCTGCTACTAGATCAGTGGGCTCAGGCACCCACCCTGGCCTCAGTTTCTTCACTTAGGAAAAAGAGACATAGCTCAGTGGCTAAATGGCATCTGTTCTTACCTCTGCGAGTATACACACATGCACACACACACAATTTAGAGAGAGAGAGACTCAACTCTATCTACTTCCGAGGCATACTTGTATGCCTGCCAGGCACTGCAAATTTAACAGGCCTGACAGTGCATTCCAGCTTTTTCCTCTCCCACACCAACTCTTGCTCGTGCCCTCCCATCTCGATCAGCGGCAGCTCCATCCTGCAAGTTCTTCTAGAGGGTAGGTTGTGGTCCTCCCAGAAACCCTTTTTTCACCTACTTCCTATATCTAAACAAACAGCCGATCCTGCTGCTTTAACCTTGAAAACACCCAGAATCCAACCTCTGCCCTTCACCTCTGACTACCACCATGATCTGAGATGCCATCATCTGTCACCTACATTATTACATCAGCCTGCAAACCGGTTTCCCGGCTTGGCTGGGTTCCTCTATCATCCACTCCCAACAAAGGCAAGAATGACCTTTTCAGTAGGAAAGTTGCATCATGACAGGCTACTATTCAAAACCCTCTGATAATTTCTTTTCACTTAGCTGAAAAAAAATATTCTCACAGAGCTTTCTCTGAGCAAAGTTCTCTATGTAGTCTGTGTTCTTAATATGATTTAAAGTCCTCGGTTTAATTCCCACATTAAGGACGGGAAAAAAATCTGCAAAGATCCAAAAGGCCCTGGTTCCCCGCTCCTGCTTCTTGGTACCATGCCTCCTCCTCCAGTTTCTGGCTTCACTGTAATCTCTGAACACCCTAAAAACTCTACCTCTGCAAGGCCTTGGCCCTCACATCGACCTGGCCTCCCTCTCCAAGGCATCTGCTATGCCTGCTCTTCACTGCCACCAAGCATTACTGAAATGCCACCTCCAAGTGAGGCCTTCCCTGTCTGCTTCGGAACTGCAGGCTCAGATGTGCAGCGCACCCCTGCAATCTCAGCGGCTCAGGAAGATGAAGCAGCACAACTGGGAGCTTCAGAGAAGTCTGGATGACAGTGAGACTATCTCAGGACCCGAGAGATGGCTCACTGCTCAAGAGCACAGCTGCTCTTCCAGAAGACCTGAGTTCAATTCCCAGACCCCACATGGCAGCTCACAACTGTCTGTAACTCCAGTTCCAGGGGACCTGACACCCTCACGCAGACATACCAGAAGGCAAAACACCAATGCACATAAAATAAAAATAAAAAAATAATTAAAAAAAAACACAACTTGAGACTATCTCACAAAAAAAAAATTGCAGCAGCTACCACCTTTATCTTATTTTATTTCCTGCTACGGCCTAGATTATTCTGTTTCTGTTTATCACCCATCACTCCAGGAGACAAGACTGATTTCACTGCTCTAACAGCAGTAACTGGGAGAGTGCCTGGCACACAGTAAACACTGAACAAATACCGAAAGGACTGAATGGCAAGCCCGACCACTCCTAATGCTTCACTCCACCCACAGTACCTTGAAGTCAAACTGCACATCCATGTACTTCCCGAACCGGCTGGAGTTATCGTTGCGGAGAGTCTTGGCATTTCCAAAGGCCTGGGAGTGGATGGGAATGTGAGAGAAGCCTGGCATTTTCTTCTCCCCTTTCCTGAGATGCTGCCGTCCAGTCCCCTCACCTCCAGCACAGGGTTGCTATGCAGCAGCCGGTCCCGCACTGCACCACCCCGCTCAGGGGCCGGGCACGTCTCTGCATAGAACTGTAGCAATCTCTTGGTGGCCTCTGTCTTGCCTGCCCCACTCTCTCCGGAAATCATCACTGCCTGGTCCCGCCGCTCAGTTCGCAGCGCCCGGTACACAGTGTCAGCCACTGCAAACCTGGGGCAGAGGTTTGTCAGGGAGTTCACAGGGTGGGAAACCCTTACAGGGTAGACCTCCCCAGCTGAGGATGGGTGCTGGGTTCACTATCACATGGAAGTTTGATCCCGTCACTCCAGGTGGGGTGCTAGCCAGGTGGAACATGTTAGCATAGTTAAAGGAATAAGTCATGAGTGGGGACTGAGGTTGGGAGCTGAGGGTCCTGGAGGACGGACTCTAGAGACTCGTCCGTTTAATGAGAACGGAGGTAACTCTGGGGTGAGCAATCATGGGATTCCTCACAGTTGTGAACAGTGAGTCACCCGAGGCAGGGGTCAGGAATCATTTCCAAGTGGGGGTAGGGTGGGGTCATCTTGCATGACGATGGGGAAGGTCATTCCTGGAAAGGTAGGGGAGCCACTTACAGATGAGGTGGCACTTCATAGAAACTGACACCACGGTAGCGTTCCATATGCTGACGGCTGTAGATCTGTAGGTCTCGGTAGGGGTTGACAGAAACCAGGACAGGGCCAATATAGGTCTGGGGGACAGAGAAGGGTCAGCAGCTTTTCCCAAAGGCTCCTGGTGTCTCCTTCACCCTAGGTCTGTTCCCCCAGCACCACCCACGGTTCTCACATAAATGAGGTTCTCCCGGAATCTTCGTCGCAGGTTCTCAATGAAGGCGGCCTCACTGGTGAAGTTCTCCAGGAGAACAAAGTCCTGCACCCCCACGCGGTCCCGGGCTGTCAAGGCGCTCTCCATGGTCACCCGCACCCCGTCACTGCCTAGGGCCTGTGGAGAAGCAGCCACAAGGCAAAGTCAGAGTCTGCAGGTTAAAGCAAGGCCATGTCTCTGACCCCACCTGCAGGATGTGGCAGGCAGAGGCACCTGGACACAGGCTACAGAACATGTTTGGGACATACGTTTGGGTCACATGGGCCATGCACAAAGCCCACAGGAGCACCAGGGACCCAGCAGACACAGAACAAGTGCATGGAATTCAGAGAGGAGTAGTATTGTGTGGAGAAAGGTGGGTCAGGAGAAGGAACTCGAAGGAACGGCAGAAAGAATGCTGTGTTGACCTTGGACAAATCTCCTTTCTCAGGACTGTTTCCTCCTTGGGAGGAGGAATGAGCTAGTTCAGGTGACCTCAGATCCCTCAGCTGAGTGTTACAGGTGCTTTGGAGAACAAATGGTCTGGAGTGAATTCTGCAGACAGGGACGGGCCATTTCTCTTGCTCCCACCGACCCAAAATCCCCCAGGGGCAGAGTTGTTTAGGGGTCAAGCATCTCCCAGGAGAGGGTTTCCCCATGGGCCACCACCCCAGCTGGACTTGACACCCACCCTAGAAGTGGGTGGCCTGCCCTCCTTCAACTGGAGCCACTCCCTCCACTCCAGCTGCTAGGCTCCCCACACAATTCCTCCGTGGCTGAGAAGCCTCAGGAGGTTGGGGGTTCTACCAGGGGAAAACCCAGCTGCCACCCAAGGGTGGGGCAGGTACGGGCTTGGCTAGCCCCTTGTGCCCTGTCCGAGGCTGAGGTTTCCCTTTAAAGAGAGTCTGCGGGTTGTAGAAAGTGTTAAGAGTCAAGGAAGAGGAAGGTATTGGGAGCGGCTGTAATCCCAGAGAGGTCACTAAGTCTCCCCTGACCCTAGTTGCCCAGGAGCTCTCTGTTCCTCGGTCACCCCTAAGAGTCTGGGGCCTGCTTCCTTCACACCTGCCCACCCATCCCGAAGCTGTTGCCCAACACGGCCGCAGCCACCGCCACCTTGTCCTTGGGTGAGGGGTCTCGGCCGTCAGCAGGGGCGACCCGCAAGGCTCTGGGTCCTAGCGTTCTGCAGCCTTCTCCGCCTCGGCCTCCTGCCCTAGCAACTTTCAGGGACGTTTTCCACTGAAATTCCTGGGCCGCGCCTGCTTCCTAGCAAGTCTAGGAGACGCTGCGGGCCACCGAGCGACACCCAGGACCCCCACCCCACCCGCGCCCTTGCTCACCGACGCCCGGTAGCGCATCCTGCCCGACCTGGCTCCCCGCTCCGCTGCCCGCGCTCTTGGTCGGAGCTCGATCGCGGCGTCAGCGAGGGAGGGGCCGGCCCGCCCCCCGCGCCGCCCCCCCCCCCGCAGGCCCCGCGGCTTCAGGGGCTTGGGGCTTGGACCCCGGGGTCTCTCTGCGGCCGGTCTGGCCCGGGCTGGGTGGGAGGGGTCCACGGGACCTAAGAGGGGGCGCGCGAGGGGCGGGGCCTCCTGCGTGCCGCGGGCTCCGCCTGAGTCAGGTTTTCCAGGAGGAACGTCGTTAGTTCCAGGGTGGGGCCCGGAACCCGCGCGGCCGCCGCGTCTACACGGCCCCGGAACTCACTTCCGGGCTCGTGTCTACAACACGGGCCGGACACCCCGCGCGAGACCAGGACTGAAGCCCGTGGGTCACCGAGGAAGCAGGATTTCCCTCCCCACCCCCAACCTCGAGTCCCGGGAAAGTTAAAAATAGAACGAAATGTCCAAATACGGCCGGCGCGCCTGGACAGGCGGAGCCTCTGTGCGGGGCACCGTCCACCCCCGTACACACTCTGGGAGGACCAGCTCCATTCTTTAAATCCCTAGGAAAAAATTGTTTGGGACAGGGTCCTACTACGTAGCCCAAGCTGGCCTGGAACTCCAGATCCTCCTGCCTGAGTTTCCTGAGTGCTGAGATTACAAACCTGTGCCAGGATGCCCAGGGAGAAAATCTCTCGAAAAGTCTCTTCCTCAGCAAAGAACACAAGCCCTAGGGCCAGGGATGGCAACAGGGTGTGTGCCCTTTCTGCGCAGCATGGACCCTATAGAAGCCTGAGTTTCTGGGTGCGCAGCCACCTTCTGACTTTCCTGCATTTGCAGTCAATACCCTTATGCTCCATCCTGAGCATCTTTCTTCGGACTCAGTGTCCTAGGGGCTTCTCTCATCTCTCTTCCTTTCTGGTCCCTCTAGATCTCCCATTCTCTCTACCCAGGCCATCAGCTGTCTCTCCAGTCTGGCTTCCAGCTGCCTCTCTGAAGGCACCAGCCCCTTTTAGGCCAGAGGGTGTGTGTGTGTGTCTGTGTGTGTGTGTGTGTGTGATGTGGGGTGGACTCTGGCTCACTTTGCCACCACTTGTGGCATATTGATGTCTAAGGTAAGGCAAAAAGAAAAAGATTCCCCTAACTTCTTAGGAGACAGACTGTTCTTCTTTAAAACGAGGCTAATATCTGCCAGCAGAATTGCTGGGTGGCCTGAAATGAAGCACCAAGGCACCGCCCAAGTCTCCAACAACACCACCCTCTTCCTCTTTTTCCCAGCCACGCTCATTCTAATACACACGCTTTGGGTGTGAGTTCATTCTTCTTGTCTAGTGGAGAAACCCCCCCCAAACCCCCCGCACGCGCCTCTATCTGTGACTTGCAAAGGGTTCTCAGGTGCCTTATGTTTCTCGCCCGCTGTTAAGAACCTGAAGAATATACCGCGGATACTGACTTGTACTAGAGAGGCGAGGCGGAGTAAGAACCCCAAAGCACCAAAGCGCCCCACTCCTTGGACAGGGACTCCCTAGGGAGGTGAGCTTGCGACAGGTGCTGGCTGCAGCCTCGAGGGGAAAGATGGTTCATTACTTCGTGAACAACAGCTCAGCCTGAGCCGCAACCCGGGGGTGGGGGAGGCGTGAGGCGCCAGCTGGGAAATGGGGCCTTTTGGAGAGGGCCAGGGGAATGGGTGCCGCAGGTGAAAGACACAGGGCAGGGAGAGCGCCCTCTACGATGCCCCGGCTTTAAAAACACGACTTTCGGCCTACCCTAGAGCGTCAGAAGATTGAGGGCGGGAGAGTTTGGAGCTGGGCTCGTTCCCCTCCCCCTGCGGCGGCCTCACCGAGCTCCCGCTCAGGCCAGTAAAGTCTGGGTGGGAGGGGCAGGGTGGGGCGGGGCTTCTAGGCCGCAGTGCCCGCCACGCCCCGCCGCGTCAAGCGGCTGGAATGAGGGGAATCTGCGCGCGGTGGGGTCCGGGCGGGCTTTACCCGTCCCGAGCAGCGCAGTCGCATTCCTGGGATGCCCGCTGGCGCCCCCGCAGCCACCGCCCCGCATCGGAAGGAGGGCGCGTCGCCGCCGCCCTGTGGGCCTTAGGCCAGCCACAGTCCGGGCAACCTCTCCTGGCCTGCTCCACCTCTCTGGACAGTAGCGTGAGTCCAGAGAGGGGAAGTGAAGTGGAGGTGGAGAACCGAGGGTGTGAGGGACACCGCCACGCCAGGCGCTTCCTGCGTTCTGAGCTTATGTCACTCCCGTCAGTGCGCGGCGCCACACCATGAGTTCTGTGTTGTTGTTCTATTTTAGAAGGAGGAACTGAGATTAGGTAGGTGAGACGCCTTGTTCAAGATTTCTATACATCTAAGAGGGATGGGTCTGGTACCCAGGACCCCTAATACTACCTCCCTGACCCCTAATACTGCCCTGATCCCTCCCAACAGTTAACAGGACTGACAGTTTTCCTCAGTGACATAGGGCAGGGGCCTGTGTCACGTGACTACTGTGAGTCTGCTTTAGGTGCGACAACTGAGGAACAGGCGAAGGTCGTTGGGTCGCACAGTGCCACAGTGCGACCCTGGGCTTAAGACTGACTGTAGGCTGGAGTACACCTTAAGCCAGTGAGTGACCCAAGACTTATTTCCTAAAAAGCACCTCTGGGTCTCCTCCCACCTGGGCAGATGTGTACTGGGAACTGCAGGGACTAGGACCAACATTCTGGGTCATTCAGTGGGCCCTTCCCTAGTGTTACCAAGCCTGACCTCTGGTAGAGTGAAGGGCTGTGGGCAGCCCCAAATGCTCCTCCAACCTCCAGGGCTACACTGATTTCCACCGAGGCAAACATGGCTTCACGGAGCAGGGAAAACAAAACCACTCAGTGCTGGGCACAAAGCAGAAGCTCTTACTTGTTTCATGGCGCTGCCCCATCAGGGACTGTTGGAGGCTTCAGGGAACTGTGAGCAGGGATGGGGAGGGTTTTACTCACAGGGCCTGATACTCTAGGTCCAGAACCATGGATCTTTTGGTCTGCCGGAGATCTTTACCTGTGAGTCCAGCAATAATGAACAAAGCTCCTTGCCCCTGACAGTTTTCATGTTCACTGTCCTAGGTCCTGACAGCCGGTAATCATGACCCTGCATTCCAGGCCCGTCCTCTTCTCTCCACCCCTTCCACCAGTTGCCACCTCCTAAGAACCTCACTCCTGCCTCCATCCTGCTCCTCTTCTGGACCAACATGTTCTCCCTGTCTTCCTCCCAACAATCAAAGTTCCGGTATCGGCCCGTGGCACTTACAAATGCAAATCTGACAGTTAACATCTCAAGTTAACGAGGGAGGTTTATACCGCATAGCTCCCCACGTGCAAAGCCTGCCTTCACACTCACAACTTCCTGTCAAGCCCTTGCGAATGGACTCGGTTTACTCCACCGCTCCTGTATGAATCTATGGCTGCACAGGGAGTCCACACTTCCCCCACTGGTACAACAACCACCACACACAGGAGGTGCTCCTTGTACCAGTGCTGCCAACCACCAACCACGTGGAACTTCATGCGTCTGTGGCTTTGCACCTGCAGCTCACTCGGCCTCCCCACCTCACAGTCATCCCTGAAGAATCAGCTCAGACATCACCTTCTCCACAACACCTTCCTAATTTCCCCTAACACACAGCCTCCTCCTCACCAAATCAAGTACTAAACGTCCGTTTCCTTGTTAGACTCTGCCGGGAGATGGCTCCGGTCTTAGGCAAGCACTCAGCTAGGCTTTCGCTGGAGATTCAATAACCCCCCCCCCCCAATGGTGGGCTCCTGCATGAATGAATGAATCTCAGAGGCCAGGAGTGTGAGCAAGAGGCTGGCGCGCGCCGGAACAGAATAAAACAGTGGGCCAGCCATTCATTCTCCCATTCATCTCTGAGCCCCGCACCCGCCTCATTTCCAGAAACGGCTCGCAGGGATCACAGGCACGCCTGGACTCCCCCCGGCGAAGGACGGGAAGGGGCGGGGCTCGGCCAGTTTCTCCGGAACCCAGAGCAGGGGCAGGGAGGGCTGCGGGAGTGGCCCGGAGGGAGCACCGGGTGCCTGGATCCCGCGCCCCCTCTTTACCCGCGTGTGTACCCAAGAAACTGAACCCCAGTGCCTCCAGGTCCAGTTGGGCTGAGCGAATCTTGTCTTAGCAATACCGGGCCAGAGACATCACGACCACAGCTCTGGTCGCTGAAGGCGCCCAGCCGCCTGCCCCTTCCTCTGGCCAGCTGGCCAACGGAGGCCACCCGGGACCCTGCAGCCGCGTCCCCTCCCGCGCGTACCCACCGGCTCGGCTCTTCGTGTGTTCGGGCGGGGGCTGGGCTGGACAGTGTGGCCGCCTCGGGAGTCCGCGGCTCCGGTACGCTCTCCCCGCCCAGGGCCCGCTAGGGGCCGGGCCGCCGCCTATCGTCTTTCCCCCGCAAGGCCCAGACTCAGGCGCGCGCGCGCGCCCCTGGGCCCCGCCCCGTGTTGGTGGCCCTCTCCAGGGCCCAGGCGAGCACCCGCCAAGGCTTGGTGCTGTACTTCTCTACCAACCCGCAGGACAGACAAGACGCAGCAGTTACATTCGTTCGCGCACACACACTCCTCCCGTAGAAGACCAGACTCATGGTGTAGTGCTCGATGGGCGAGAACACTAGATGCGGTTTCTCCGTCCCTAGACAAACTAGACCTTCATTCCACTGCCTTGCGTGCTAGGCCAGTCCTTCCCCATTTCTAATTTTCTCTTTGCCTTCACCCACCTTCTCGTTCCATGCTGTTTAAATTGAGCAGTGCCAGTTCTGCGTGCCCGGCGGGGAAAGGGAAGACATTATTTGTACTATGAGCCCGCAACTTTTATATGTACTCGTCTTTTGGCGTTAGAGCACTGTCCTCTTGTTATCTATGTTTAGTTTCCAGCTAAGCACATTTAAGTTCAGGGAGCTGGCGGAGGAATTCAAATCAAAACCTCCGTTTAAAAAAAAAAATTCCTTCTAGTAGCCCACAATCCCTTACTCCTTCTTTCCACTTACTCCGTGTCCTAATAGTGTCTGCCCCCATCAAAGTTCAGAACAGGTCCTCCCTGCTCATCCCTTTCCAGATGAATGTACTGGAGGCCGCCCAGTCCAGAAGAGACCCCACCACCATTCCTCCCAGCCCACAGTATCATCCCAGCTTACAAGTTTGCATGGCCTGTGGGGGTGAACCACGCGGATGATCTCCCCTGTTGGTATCAGTTCTACTTGGAGTGCCATTCCGCTGTGTGGAGAGCCAGCCTGCAGAAGGCAAAAACTGTCCAGCGTCCACTGGCTCTGGCGACTCAACTGGCTTACGCTGGGACAGCCAGTTGGTTATGCTTCAACTCCAGCCCCAGGGGATGTGACTGGTCCAGCTTCTCAGGACACAGCTGGAGCAGTCCAGGTCTGATTGGGAGGTCTCTTGGCCAGAGGGTTGGGGCAGGAAGAGGAGGGGCTGAAGGATGGAGGAAATGCCTGTTGTCTCAGGTAACCAGAGGAGCTGATGCATCCACCCATGAGACCCTGGGTTCCAGGTCAAAGGTTAGGAGACAACCCCCCACTCCCTTCCCAACAGCTCCTTGGCAGGGCCTCTCAAGCTGCTGTCTCTCAGAACAGCTAGAGCGCCAACTAACCATTCCTCTAAGCAGAGGACACGAGCCAAGAGGACCCGTTACGAGGCATTGCCCCTCTTGAGGTCCCTGCAACTTGGCTGCTTTTGAAGGTAATGAGTCTTACCCCACTTTTTTTTCCTCTTTTTTTAAAGTCTGAATGTTGTCTAGGCTAGTCTAGAACTCCTGCTTCATCTGAGTGTTGGGAGGACGGGCATCTGCCGACCATTCGACTATACCTTTTTGTTTTCCAGACAGAGTTTCTCTGTGATGTTTAGGCTGTCCTGGAACTCATTCTGTAGACCAGACTGGCCTTGAAATCAGAGCTCCACCTGCCTCTGCCTCCCCAGTGCTGGGATTTAAGGTGTGTGCCACCACTTGACTACACCTTGTTTTAGAGGCCAGGGCTGGCCATGCTGGGCAGGAACAGCAAGAGGCCTCTGCCCTACCCACCACTGTAGCCTCAAGGTGGGTTCCTGAGTCCCTTGGGTGTATACTCCCACTGTTTATTTTCAACTGCACCCCCCCCACACACACACACAAACACACACACAGTGTTCCTGTTTTTCTGTCTTCATTGTTGCTAAATCATAGCTGACATTTTCCTGGCCTGGGACTGAGCTCTGGGTCTCCAGCCATTCCTTATAGGAAATGAGAATGGGGAAGTCAGGGGGAAACAGACTTTTCCACAAGGAGAGGCTGGCATGGGAGGGGCAGAGGACCCCTGGGACTGTGCTGACACTAATGACCGGGCACCTTCCCTTTTCTCCCTCAGCTTCCCCCCGCCCAGGAAAGACCTATAAAGCTTCCTTCCTCTGGGAAGCACATCTATCCAGGGAAGGCTCATCCCAGTGGCCACACAATTGCTCTTATCAGTCTCGGAGCCAGGCACAGAGACCCAGCACACACCAAGTCTCACATGTTTCCTGTTTCCACCCACCGGGTCAGGGGTGGGCCCAGAACAGCCATATCCTGCCTGGGGCCTGAGAGGGAGCAATCCCCTTCCTTTTTCCGCCTCTCAATCACAGCTGAACTCACCCTTCTCAGTTCAGGAGGAACCCTGCACTGGGACATCAGGGCAGGATTTCTAGTATAGGAAGGGTAGAGGTGAGTCTGTGGAGAAGTACTGGGACTCCTAGTCCCCAAAGCCAGCCCCAGGGCTCCATGAGTCAGAATAGCCATGCTGGTAGTGTCTTTGAGGAGTTCGAGGTTTCAGCAATGGTTCTCTCACTGACTTGTCAATAGTATATCATTTCTATTTTTCTAGACAACTCAGACTCCTGTGGTGAGGTAGGGTAGGAAGGATGACAGGTGCAGGTCCAGTCTCTAGGCCCATTCCTATACTCTGGTCCTCTCCCCCATCAAAGGAGTCACATACAAGTGTAAAAGCCACATTTATAATTATCCCTCAATGTAACAACTCACACAGAACAGACAGCCGTGGCTCACTAGAAGCCTGGGGGGGGGGGTAAATTCTTAACACATGGTGGCTCCCAGAATAGAATACAGAACCTAGAGTAACTGGAGCGACTCTCAGGCTCAAGTCACAAGACAGATGTGTGAATTACAGGGCAAGACTCCTGAGGTGTCTTCTCTTGGGAGAAAGGGTACTGAATCACTATTGGCAGTCGGCAATCAGCAGGAATAGGGACAGGCTATATCTGCATGGCACCTGCAGAATGCTGAGGCCTATTCCTGCTAGGTCCTTCAAAATATCTTGAGCCCAGCTACTCTGCTGCTTCCCATCTAGGTCCCAGTAGGGCCCAGAGAGAGGAGCAATGTTTTGTCAATGACTAATGATAGGAATGGCAGCAGATGAGCTTGATCTAACACCTGTCACCCCAACACCTGTCAACCCTTTGTAAAGGCCAGGGTGGGGACATGGGGCCTTACTCACCTGCAGAAGCTAACCTGGATCTATACAATCCACTGTGCTTAGGCCCAAGAACTTCCTGCTCAGACTCTGCATTACACAGTAGAGGCAGATATACCATCTACTTAGTGCCTCAGCTGCAGACAGGGATCTTAGCCTCCGTTCATCCCCATGGGGACAACTATGAGATGCCAAGACTTTTGGAACCCATTGCCACCTAATTTATGGGGCCTGTACAAATGTGAACACCCCCCACCAGGCCCAAAGCCCAGGATGGCGTGATAGGAATGCAGGCCTGTGCCAAATGGGGCATGTGCCTGGCACAATTACTTGGGTGTGAGAGAGCGTGTTTCTGTGTCAGGGAAAGGGAGAGTAAAGATGGTATGCAAGCTAGTGGCCTTTTCCGTATACAGTGGACTGACCCAAGTCTTCACCATTGACACACTACTTTGTTTCAGTCACATCTCAGTAACAAGAACCTGTATTAAATGGCCTGGGGAGAACAGAGGAGTCTGGCTGAGCTCCCCCGGAAGTGGGGAGCTAGAGGATACTCAGCTGCCTCCTCAGGGGCTAGGCCAGACCCAGTGCTCCTGGCAGTGCTGAGGCAGAGCTGGCTTCCATCTCTAGCCTCCGCCCCGGATTCATTCACTCCCATCTGGACTCAGATCTGTGGCCCAGGCTCATACAGTGCGTCATCCCTCAAAAAGTAGCGAAGCGGGATCTGCAGGGGTGAAACAGATGGCAGAAGAGGTAAGAAGAGGTCTTACCCACATTCCTAATGCCCACCACCCAAAAGATACAGCTCCACAGGCACAGGGTGCTTCCCAGGTCTGTGGCCTCAGAGCACTAACAAGGGGCTCAAGTCCTTCAAAGAAACCCTCCCCTTCTCCCGCCAACACCCCTTACCTTGAAAGGCTGACTTATCCCTACTACAGAGTGCAGATTGTTGCTATAATAACAGAGAAGAAACTGATCCTCAGTTTCAGGGACATCACTGATGTTGATGTATACCTGGAACAAAAGGAAACAGTGTCAGCATAGTGGTAAATTATCCAACACTTTCTTTTTAGTCAAGTTTGCAGGATAGAGATGTACCTGGTTTGGGTTGTTGCTAAAGGAGACTTGGTTGTCGCCAACCCAGACATAGGACACATAGTCGTTAATGTGGCGCATCCCTACCTGTGAGTGGAGATGAGACAGTCAGTGGCTGGACAGGGTATGAGAGCTAGAGAAATCCTACTGAGAAGGTGGTCTTTCTGCTGGGGCTGGCCGCTGCACCCTTTCCCTTCCCGGACAGGCCCTAAGTTGGTAAGGATCTCTGGGGTGAACAGTGGTCTCTGCCCAATTCCTGTGAGCCCAAATGATGGACAAACCAGAGGATGATGAACTCCCTGTCAAGATTGCCACATCACCTTGTACAGTCCGATCCAGTCCCAGGGGCTGCTGAGGAACTCTGGGGTGGAGGTGTAGCTAATCAACATGTCATTCTCCATGGTCCACAGGTATTCAGGCATCATGGTGACCAGTGGGACAGACATCAGGGGGTTCAGCTAAACACAGGGATAGGAGGTAGACTGAAATCCTTAAGGCACCTTTTCCTTACTGTGTCCTTCAGCGTGGTGGGGGCAACAGAGACACCCAGAGCAGTGGGCACAGAACTTTGCTACTCTAGCTGACCCTAGCTGACCAACAGGAAAAAAGAAAGGGCCAAAGGGGCCTGTCAGAGGGAGAGCTTGCCCTGCCACAGGAATGGGGTCTAGAAACGGGTAGACAGCCCAGAGCCCAGAGCTGAGGCTGAGTGTGAGTGGGGAAGCAGGAACTGCTCTAAGAAAAGAGGTCTCAAAGCTGCTCTTTCCCAAGAGGTCTCAAAGTGCTCTTTCCCAAGGTTTTCGCTCTGTGGAGAAATGCTGTGGGAAGGAGCTGTACAAATAGGGAAGGGCCAGTGCTGAGGCTGGGGAGTAGGCAGTTACTGCGGCCACGGTAAAGGATGGAGGGCTCCCTCTGCAACTCGATCTAGACACAGTGAGGACAAACAAAAGGGAGTTCTATCTCACATAGTAGGTAATAAGCATGATGGAACTCATTAGCCTCCAGGGAGCACCCAGAGGAAACAGAAGCCTGCTCACAAAGCATCTAGGCACGGGTCTGACAGAAAGAGCCGTCAACAGCTCCTCAGAAACACTGGCTACCTGACCTGAGAGGAAAGGCAATCATGTCTTCCCACAGGTGTCTCCTGCAGATTACCTGACATTACAGCTCGGCCCTAGAGGGCCTGTGGGATGGCCCAACACAGTTCTCCCTCTGCTACGTTTTGGGAAACCCAGAAGCTCACCTCCAGTTCGAAGGTCCCAGTGACAGGCTTATGGTCACTGATGCTGTATGACATGTGGCTGACGTAGCTCTTTAGCGTCAGCGAGAAGTAGGAGGTTGGCAGGCTGGAGGCCAAGGGGCTGGCCTGGGGCTGCCGCTTCAGCCTCCACAGGATGCGGTCAGTCCATGCAGGCTTGCGTTTTTTCTCACTAAGGGTAGAAAAAAGAATGGGAAGAAAGGAGTTGACATAACAGCAGAAATGTGCTTCCACAGGCTTGCTTAAAAGTTTACCAGCAGCCCAAGACTTCTGGGCCACAACTGGGAGAAGCACAGTGGCAGGTGACAGGATCCAGAAGAAGCAGCAGGAATCAATCACAGACCCTCTACCTAAGCCCACATTTTGTGAATTAAACCCTGATTTAGGAACATTCCATTCAAGGCACTCCTAAAAAAGAAAGGAAGGAAGGAAGGAAGGAAGGAAGGAAGGAAGGAAGGAAGGAAGGAAGGAAGGAAGGAAGGAAGGAAGGGAGAAAAGCAGAAAAGAACCTAGGCTGGATTTTTTGGATTTTGGAGTTGTAGAGACTCAGCCATAACTGGGGAATGCTTACCACAGGCCTGTGGTTAGTCTGGTTACCACTCACCCTTTACAGTAGGGAGACTGAATCTGAGAATGGGAGTAACTTTCCCAGAGTTACTAAGTGGTGCAACCAGGACTCAAGGCCAAGCAAGCAGCATGACCACAGAGCACATGTTCTGAACCACCAAGCTAACCCTCTTAGGTTCCAGCTTCCTCCTCTGCAAATGGAGATGAGAACAGTTGTTACCTCACGGGGCTGCTAAGATGTTGAGGTGAGCTGAGTCACTTCTAGATCTAGAGAGAGCTTCTGCATGAAGCAGGCTCTCTGTAGACCTCAGTCACTGTGCTTAGACAGGGGCTCCTGAGTCCAGGCTGGCCTTAAACTCCATAAAGGTTAGGATGAGTTTGAACTTCTCATCCTCCTGCCTTCATCAGTGCTGGGAGTTCAGGTGTGCGCTACCATGCCCAGTTTATGTGGTGTTGGCGATCCGGCTGAGGGCTTCTGTAAATGCTAGACAAGCACTCTACCAAATGAACTACATGCCAAGCTCCCACTGTGATTCTTTGTCCTCAAAAGCCACCAGAAAGTGCTTGACATATGAGCACAAAGGTCTGAATTCAAATTCTTGTAAAATTCAAAACAAAAGATACGCAGCACGCATGTGTAAAGCCAGTGCTAAGGAAGGTAGAGCGCAGGAGCCGGCCAGTATAACTGAACTGGTAGGCTCCAACTCAGTAAGCACCGAGGAGACCAAGGCAAGTGAATTTCTGTGAGTTCAAGGCCAGCCTGGCCTATGTAGTGAGTTCTAGGACAGCCAGGGCTATAAAAAGAGACTCATGTAAAAAAGAAAAGAAAATACCAGGAAGTAAAACTATTTGTCATCAAGCCCGAAAGCCTGAGTGTGACCCTCAGAACCCACAGGGTAGAAGGCAAAAGTGGGTGGTGGCTCATGCCTTTAATCTCAGCACTTGGGAGGCAGAGACAGGCAGAGCTCTGTAAATTCAAAGCCAGCCTGGTCTACAGAGTGAGTTTCCAGGACAGCCAGGACTGTACACAAAGAAACCCTGTCTCAAAAAAAAAAAGTAAGAACCAATTCTCAGGAGCTGTGCTGTTTGCCACTGCAAGTGCATCCCCAACATACACTAAAAATATAAAATGTTTAAACACTAAAAAATGTTTTAAAAAACTTTTTGGGGGGGTTCTTTTGAGACAGGGTTTCTCTGTAGCTTTGGAGCCTGTCCTAGAACTAGCCTCTGCCTCCCAAGTGCTGGAATTAAAGGCATGCACCACCATCACCTGGCTAAATTATTTTAAAAAACGTAAAAATCAACTGGAGAAGACAACAGACACAGACGTCTGACCTACACACATTCATGTTTATTCTCTCTCTTTCTCCCCAGAAAGTCAATTCAAAGAGTCAGGCATGGTGGCTCATGCCTATAATCCTGGCACTCAGCTGGCTAAGGCAGGAGGATCACTTGAGGTCAGTCTGGGCTACATAAACTTCCAAGCCAGTGTTAACTAAGATTGAGTGCCTGTCTCAAAGAGGGAGGGGAGCACTGGAGAGATGGCTCAGTGGTTACCACAGGCTGTTATTTCAGAGGACCTGGGTTCAATACCCAGCACCCATGTGGTTGTTTACAACTATCTATACTCCAGTTCCAGGGGATCTGATGCCCTCTTTTGATGTATGTGGATACCAGACATCATGTAGTGCAGGCAAAACACACATAAAGCTGTGCGGTGGTGACACACATCTTTAATCCCAGCACTGGGGGGGGGGGGAGGCAGAAGGATCTCTGTGAGTTTGAGGTCAGCCTGGTCTACAATGCAAGTTGGGTCTATAAAGCAAGTTCCAGGACAGTCAGGATTATTACACAGAGAAACCGTGTCTCAATGTCTCAAAAAAACAAAAACAAGGGCTGGAGAGATGGCTCAGAGGTTAAGAGCATTGCCTGCTCTTCCAAAGGTACTGAGTTCAATTCCCAGCAACCACATGGTGGCTCACAACCATTTATAATGAGGTCTGGTGCCCTCTTCTGACCTGCAGTCATACACACAGACAGAATATTGTATACATAATAAATAAAAAAAACCAAAAACAAATAAAAACCTACACATAAAATAAAAATTAATAAATCAAATTTTTAAAAAAGTATAGAGTGATGAAGATATTGATGCTGGCCTCTGGCCTCCATAGACTCATGCATGAGCAGTGGGCAAGTGCATCCCCATACATGTATGTATACAAACAAATGTACACAAATACAAAAACGCAAGCAAAAAAATGTAAGCAATAACAGATAACAAACCCCAAATTTAAAAAAAAAAAAAAACCACTTTCTAGCCGTGGGTGGGGCAAGTGGTACACACCTTTAATCCCAGCACTCAGGAGACAGATCTCTGTGAGTTCGAGACCAGCCTGGGCTACAAGAGCTAGTTCCAGGACAGGCTCCAAAGCTACAGAGAAACCCTGTCTTGAAAAACCAAAACCAAACAAACAAAAAAAGGCTTTCTTCCTCTAGTGACTTCTGCCACTAGTCAGGCGAGCCTCTGACCCTGTTCAGCTCCACTAGCAGCTTCTGGGTTGGTCATTCACTACTCATCCAGCAAACAGGGACAGGAGGGCAGTCAGGGTCCTGGGAGGGAGGAGAGCTGTTACCTCTGAATTCCTCTCCAGCAGAGGACTCCCTTCCCCCACAGTAGTAAAACCTCATCTGACAATTCTCTACTTAAAATCTTTAGAGGGTTTCACTGCCTCTAATACAAGTAGGGTTCCCAGGGATTCAGAAGGCTGACTTCCCACCTGATGTACAGACTTACTCTATTGTTGCCGCTCTCAAGTCTCTGCTGGATAGAACACCCTTCACCAGGGAGAGGTGAAGTACATCATCATAAAGCTGTCCCTAACGTCTTAATCCTGCTTCCAAAGCATTTAACTCCAGTACTTCCACAATATTCTACCCTGTGACTTTGTTTCCCTAGAAGAATATCAGCTAGTGTATGCCTCTGGCGTTCAGGCTTGGTTCCTGCATCTTCTGGATAGCTTCAGCAATCAAACTTCAGTTTCAGACTAAATGTCCATCAGTCTCCTAACTATAAAACCATAAGCTCAACCTTTTTCCTCAAAAAAGTCCATCCAGAGATAGGCTTGGCAGCACATATCCACATTCAAGAGGCAGGGAAAGGCAGAATGATTTGCTCTGAATTCAAAACAGCTTGGTCTAAACGAGATGCTATCTCAAAAACACAAACAATATAATCACTTCTATAATCCCAGCAGTTGGGCTGTGGGCAGGAGGATTAGGAGTTCAAGGTCAGCCTCTGTGGCCTGGTGAGGTGGCACACGCTTTTCATTCCAGCATTTGGAAGGCAGAAGCAGGCAGATATCTGTGAGTTTGAGGCCAGCCTGTTCTACAGAGCAAGTTCCAGGACAACAGGCTCCAAAGTTACAGAGAAACCCTGTCTCAAAAAACAAAACAAAAATCAGTCTTTACAATAAAATGATAAAGTGAGTTTGAGGGTTAGCCTGGGTTACGGGAGACCCTGTCTCAAGAAAACAAAACCAGGGCTGCCAATATGGCTAGGAGGGTAAGGACACCTGCCGCCAAGCCTAAAGATGTGAGTTTGATCCCTGAACCCATATGATAGAGGAGAACCAACTTCTGAAAGCTGTTCTCTGATCCCCACATGTGTACACACAATAAATTAATGTAAGAAAAAATAGAACAATTAAAAATAGAGCACAATGAACAAAAAATGCCTCCAGTTTTAATGTGCAGTCTCCTATGTCCCACTCATTTTGAAATAGTTTGTCTCGTCAGTCGGTGGTGGCGTATGCCTTTAATTCCAGCACTCGGAAAGCAGAGGCAGGCAGATGTCTGTGAGTGAGGCCAGCCTGGTCTACAGAGTGAGTTCCAGAACAGCCAGGGCTGTTACACAGAGAAACCCTGTCTTGAAAAGTCAAAAGAAAACAAAAAAACAAACCAAAAACCCCAAAAAAACAAGTTGGGTGGTGGTGGCACATGCCTTTAATCCCAGCACTTGGGAGGTAGAGGCAGGAGGATCTGTGAGTTCGAGGCCAGCCTGGTCTACGAGAGCTAGTTCCAGGACAGTTGCAAAGCTACAGAGAAACCCTGTCTCGAAAAAACAAAAACAAAAAAACAAAAAAACAAAAAAAGAAAAAAGAAAACAAATAGTTTATCTCCTGCTTCCTTCAGTCCTGTTTTTTCTAACTACATCCAGTGGACTGCTGTCACTTACGTAGCAGCACATCTTTCAACAAGGGAGGATGATACCATGGTGAACTGACTCTGGAATCAGAAGCCCGCCGGAGGAAAGTTCTGCTCTGCTGACTGGGTGCTATGCCCTCAGGGAAGTGATGCCACCTATCTACAGCTCAGTTTCTTGAACTTTAAGATGGGACGATAACAGCACTTACTTCAAAGACGCTGAGGCATCAAGGAGTAGTCCAAAAGTAGAAACTCTGGCTAAACCACCTTCTGCCCATCAGCTCCTAAGGCTGTTACTGGACTTACTCCTCTGGCTTTCTGTTTGTTCAGAATCAGGGTCCTGCTATGGACCCCTGCACAGCCTGGGACTCACTGTGGCCAAGATATCCTCAAACTCACAAACTATCCACTTGCCTTTGCCCTCCACCACTGGAAAACCACTGATCCAATCTCTCCTTGGTCATCATGAACATGAGGTGCCCAGCAAGGCTTACAACTTGGTAAGAGTCACACAAATGCACTTCTCCTTTAAAGGACAGCTTCTCCCCAACTCTCTGAGATGGCTAAGAACCCAGACCTGGGGCTAGACAGATGGCTTAACAGTTAAGAACACTGTGTTCTTCCTAGCACCCACATAGTAGCTCACAACTATCTGCAACTCCAGTTCCAGGGTAACCAACACTCTCACACAGACATGCATGCAGGCAAAATAACAATGCACAGAAGAAATAAAAACAAACCATTACAAAAAAAAAACCAAAAAAAATTCAACAACAACAAATCTAGACCTTCAGGATTGTGATTATCCTCAATCCTGAACCAGAGTCTGCCTCCTTCCTCCTCAGTACTCAGGCAGCCCTTCTTCTTATCTTTTCTTTAACATCTGCATTGTTCATCTTTTCCACCAAGGTTTACCATCTGTCAGGTAAACTAAACAAGATTAAGAAGCAGTGTCAGTCGGGCGGTGGTGGCACATGCCTTTAATCCCAGCATTCGGGGGAGAGGCTCGCTGTGAGTTCGAGGCCAACCTGCTCTACAAGAGCTAGTTCCAGAACAGGCTCCAAAACTACAGAGAAACCCTGTCTTGAAAAACAAAAACAACAACAACAACAAAAATCCTAGCAGAGGTAGGTAAATCTCTGTAAATTCCAGGCCAGCAGAAGCTATACAGTGAGACCCTATCTCAAAATAAAAAGCAACCAACCAAACCAAATCAATGAGACTGTTTTTTCCATCCAGCACAGAACCCAGGGCATGCAGTAGATAACTATCACTGAGCCACACACCCCAGTTCCCTGAGCTCGTTTGACAAACAAGACAAGAAACCAAAGACAATAAAACATGTTACTGTCTCTATTCTTCAAGTCTACATTTCTTATAATCTGAAGTGGATCTTTAATGCACAATGTACTGGCATTGTGACTTCTGTCTTATTAACTGCTTCAATCATTCCAACAATCCTGTCTTTTGTCTTTAAAACAGACTTATTCATTTTTATTGGATGGGTGCTGCCTGTGTGTATTTTTATGTACCACATACATGCAGTCCTCACAGATGCTGTGACACTGGAGTAGCAGACAGTGCTGAGGGGCCATGTGGGTGCTGGGAACTGAACCTGGGTCCTCTGCCAGTGTAACAAGTGTTGTGAGCCTCTGAGCCATCTCTCGAGCCCCAGGGTCCTACAAGTCACATTTTTCTAAAGCTGAGAGAGGCTACTCTGTTGTGGTGGAAGCAGGATGCTTGCCCAGACCTGCTGACTACAAAGTCTGTGTGCCTTCGGTGTGCTCTATTCTGTCTCTCACCTCTGTGAACATGCTAACTCCTTTCAGAGAAGCCAGAATGCTCCTACAGCGTAGATCAACCTCACTAAGGTTTTCTGGATAAATAGTTTGAGTATAACTTTCTTAAATGAATGAACATGCCTTCACATTCAGAAAACTAAAGTGACAAGACTCTGCAAGATTCTCTAGAGATTCTAAAAACAAAGCAAAACAACACACCAACCACAGAACCAGTCTACTGACCCAGAGTAGCTATGGCCCAGTAGTCTGCTCAGTTTCTGTGTGTGAGAGTACTTCACTTCAGCTCCCTATGGACCCTGGAGCATGGTTAACTGGTCATGCACTTAACATGTCCGTGACACAGTCTTGACTAGCTTTGATCAGAATACCCTCTGCTCCATAGCCAATCTGTATCCATGATTACTGTAACAAGACCCGGCGCAATCCCTGACTCTAACAGGATTTCCCGCCCTGTTCTCAGCCCCTCCACCCTCCCCTGTAATGGAGCTGACCTCGTTTCTCATTACATCTTGGCTCAGGGACACAGCACAGCCAATGAAAGCTGTATTCTATGCTCTGTACACAAATCATTCACAGTCGCTTTGTAAAGCTAGACAGACACATAAGTCACCTACAGTCACTTAGGACAACTACCCAGGCCAGGGTCTTGCTCCCAAGGTGCCACTCACCAGTGCTACGGATGGACTTAGAGGGCCTGTCCCTCTTCTCTCTGCCAATATTGTTGCCTCCTTCAGCATACTTTTCTAGGAACTGAGGTGCATATAGCTCAGAGGCAGAATACTTGCCTGGTATACATGGGGCTCTAGGATTACCCTGTCACTGCAAAAACAAACAAACCCACCTCTCCTTGACAAGTATAATTGACCCTTCCTGTCTCTGGCTGCCAGCTTCCTTTGGCACTTCGAGTTCAGGAAATGTATTGGCTGACTCCTAACCAAGCTAATCGTGACTATTTGGCTCTCCTTGCCATTGGTAGGTCCCTTTGCTAGACTTGCTTGAATATTCTTATCAGGCTCCAGATTTAAACATAAGCCAGGCACTGTCTTTCTACCTGGGATGACCATAAATTAGATCCAGGTTCCGCGCTGGGTATCACGAGGACAGAAATGGTTCACTACAGGTTTCTTTTGTTTGGCAGTGTTAGGTACCAAACACATAAAGGTCCTACCACTGGGCTACATCTCCTGCCCTTTGGTTTTTGAGAGAAAATTCCATTATGTAGCTCAGAAGACATGATCTTTATGCTTCTGCCTCTCAAGTAGCTGGGATTATATATTTGTGTGTATGTACGTACATGTATGCAGAGGCCAGAAATTGGTCTCTCTTTTCATTGCTCTCCATCATATTTTTTTAAAATATTTATTTATTATGCATACAATAGTCTATCTGTGTGTATGCCTGCAGACCAGAAGAGGGCAGCAGACCTCGTTACAGATGGTTGTGAGCCACCATGTGGTTGCTTGGAATTGAACTCATGACCTTTGGAAGAGCAGGCAATGCTCTTAACCACTGAGCCATCTTTCCAGCCTGTTTTTGTTTTTTGAGACAAGGTTTTTCTGTGTAGCCCTGGTTGTCCTGGAACTCACTCTGTAGACCAAACTGGACTCAAGCTCAGAGATCTGACTGCCTCTGCCTCCTGAGTGCTGAACTTAAGGCATGCTCCCACCACTGCCCAGCTTCGGTCCTCTTTTTTGAGGCAGGATCTCTTATTGAATCTGGCAGTTACCATTTGTCTGACAGTAGTTTTGATCAGGTATAGACTTTAAAATGAGTGCTGAGAATCTAAACTTATGTTCTTATGTTTACACAGCAGGCACTTCACCAACTGAGCCATCTCCTGAGTTCTGGGATTACACAGCACATCCAAGGCTTAGTGTGATCTGGGGCAGTGGAGCCCCTAGCACTTAATGTCTCTACTGTTCTCCAGATGGGTTCAGCAATGTCCACCACAGGAAGTAACAGCTATCACTGGCCCTAAACAGGAGTATTTCAATCATGATATCCACTGTTCCTGCCTAGACATCTTTTTATGGGCTCTAAGCACCACCGAAAATTTATAGCTCTGCATCAGGCAGTCTAGGGTTCAAATTCTTCCTAAACAGCAAAGCTTCTTACTACCTGGCAGCCAGGCTCTCAAGCCATAGTTAGTACCTGAGGTGATCATGTAGCCTACCAGACAGGTTGTTGCTACCCTAACAAAGGGTCAGGCTGTTGTTATGCTCCTTTTTGTAATATGGAGGATGCCTGAATAGAGATGCTAATTCAGACTACGTGTCAGAGCTAACATACAGAGCAAAAAGATAAAAATATGTGAAAAAATGGACATAAAAAGGTGTGGTCAAAGGTGTAGACATGACTAAAGCCATTTACCTGGTTACCTAGGAAACAGAATTCTAATGAATTTCCCCCTCAGTTTACATTTTGGTATAAAGGCTGTTTAAAGAATAAATGAGAGAAATTTTTCAGGATGTGAACTCAGGATTTCATGAGGGATCACTGGAATCTCCCTCCCAATAAAGCCATGTGAGTTGTGTCTTTTTTTTTTTTTTTAGCTTTGGTGCTTGTCCTGGAACTAGACCAGGCTGGCCTTGAACTCCCAGAGATCCGCCTGCCTCTGCCTCCAGAGTGCTGGGATTAAAGGCATGCACCACCACCACCCGGCTTGTGAGTTGTGTCTTTATCCCCACACCTCTATGATGGTCCAGAGAAATAATTTAGGGTCCGGGCTGGGGAGTGAACCCCGACATAATGGCGTCCAATGTGGTCCAGGCTGCCACCGGATCATGACAGTGGTGCATGTCTTTAATCCTAGCACTCAGGAGACAAGGGGTCCCTGAATGCTCTGGTGCCTTCCCTTCTAAGTTAGGGCCCTGTCTGCTCTTGTCTACACCTTCCCCTTCAATAACCTTCTACCCAACAGCAGCCTTCTCTTCCACTTTCAGACCAATCTGAGAAGCTCCCACAGCCAGTGCCTCAGGGAAGGACAGGAGGTTCCACTCCTGAGTTGATGGCTGGGTCTATTCCCGCTTCCCTGATACCTCTGTTTTGTGGCACACCCCGACCTCCACCCTGCTCCCTGGGCTGGCTGGCCTCCTGGGCACCAATTCTTTCTCACCTTGTGTCATAGTTGTTGGAGTGCCTGTCAAACTTGTAGGTGGGTGGGAAGAGCAGGGCACCTTCCTGGAACTCCCGGAGCAGCGGGTCATGTCTCTTGGCAATGCAGAGCTGTGGGTAAAGACACAGTCCCCATCTTCCCAGTCCTGATGCAATAGGTCAGCACCACCCTCTCTCTGTCACTGCTTCAGCAGTCCCTGTAATCTTCTGAAAATGTGGCTTTACAGGACTAGTGGAGACAGATGTTTGCCATTTTCTGTCTATCCTTCCTCTGTGGAGAGCAGACCTTGATTTCCAACTGTCTGGAGGTCACTAGAAGGCTTGTGTCAGAGGACATAAAAAAGCCAAGGCCCTCAAAGGGGTGGAATATTATCCTCCAGAGGTAGCCTTGTTTGAAACAGGAGAGGCAACAGGGATACAAGCAGGCTGATGCATGTTAGAAGACCAGCACTGGCCAATGCTAATCTGGACCCCCTCCCATGCCTTGTTTTAAGGAGATGCTAGCATTTCACACTGTAATTTAGACTTGGCTGGAACTCATGTAGCCAAGGTGGAAACAAAATCCACGACAATCCCCTTGTCTGACGTCTCCTCAGTGCTGAGATCACAGGTATGAGCTGCCAATGCCCAGCCTGGCTCCCTATGCTTGAGAATGCCAACGGTTTCTCTAGGTCAAGATCAGTACTGACAGTATGGCTGTCCCACGCCTCCACGGGCAAAACCTTTCTCTCTTCCTACCCAGAGAGAAAGGAGAACAGATTCCAGATAATTAGAGCACTGCTGGTCTCTGAATATTTCACAGACCTCCATGACAGGTTCAGATCACACATACACAGCCCAGACCCTCTGCTCGCTCTCTCTCTCTCTCTCTCTCTCTCTCTCTCTCTCTCTCTCTCTCTCT